CCTCAGTTTGTTTTTCAGAGTCCATCGTCTCTAATGGTTCGTCTCCCCCTCCGACTTACTCCCCTTCATTCTTCCCCTCCTGCTCTCTTCTTCTTTTTTTTCTTAACATATATTGCATTATTTGTTTTATCTTCTCATTTTTAATGGTTAGTGTCAATAATACATATAAAATCTACAATGTTCTGCATCATGTAAGACAATAGAGTTGTAGGTTCTGACAGACAATTCATTTTATGAGGAATCTAAAATAGTCAAATTCACAGAAGCGGAGAGTAGAATGGTGGTTGCTGGGGGCGGAAGGGGAAAATGAGGAGGTATTAAAGGGTACAAAGTTTCGGTTATACAAGATGAGTAAGTCCTAGAAATCTACTGTAAAGCATAGTACCTATAGTTAACAATACTGTACCGTATATTTAAAAATTTGCCAAGAGGGAAGATCTTATGTTAAGTGCTCTTATCATACACACACATAATAATAAATGAAGAGGGTGGGAGGAAATTTTTGGAGGTGATATGCTTATGGCATAGTTTCCCAGATGGTCATGTTTCCCAGATGTATACTTATCTCCAAGCACATTGAGTTGTATACATTAAATGCATGCCAACCATACTTTGATAAAATGACTAAAAAAGTTATTATATGAGGATGGCAAGTAGAGGAGCCTGCAGTGAAAGAGCATGTGAAACACAATACAATTGTCTTAGAAAAAAAAATCCATCAAGGTAATGTTTATCTTGAATATTTTACTCCACGGTTGCAAAGTTCAAATGAGATAATATATAAAAATTTTAAGTGCTCTTCTATGATGATTTTAATGATGAAGGATAGCTAAATAAGTTATTATATAACATGTAATATTTATAAAATTCACAAAACAAACTTAGCAAGGTATCTACTGCTCAGGCAGAGCATTCTCTAAGATAATCTCTATCCCTCTTATTAAAAATATTATTAGAAATAGAGACAGAAATTCCTTAAAAACACAAGCAAAAGATAAAACTCAAGATTTTCCAGTTTGAAGACTATGATAACAATCAATCACTCTATAAAAGAGCAGAGGGCATGAATCTTTCAGAGTAGTTATTATTGATTATTACACAATATATTGTTAACAATAAACACTAGTAATTTTTCATTTGTTATTTAGACTTAAAACTAATTAGAATAACTTAATTATAGGCACTATTTTCTCTACTTTAAAGGTAAGAAAATTGAGGTTCACAAAGGTTAAGTAGCTTTACCAAGATCACTCAATTGCTAAGTAGAAGAGGTTGGGACTGGAGCTCTAACTCCAAACTCTCTTTCGTGTCTCTGCACTACTTTTAGAGATAGGTTCCAAAGCACATATATTGATGAAGCACTGACTCAGAGGTCTGACCGCTCCATAGAAACTCTTCCCTATTCTCACTGTTTTATCACCTGGGAAACAGGAAAAATAAAGACAGTGGTACCATCTTCCCCTAAAGGTTAGGACACAGGCAGAAACCCAAACTGGGACCTGTCTACCCAGGAAACTGGTGCTAACACGGGATAACAATAAGGATCTAAAATTCCAGGTTCTTGAACACCTAAATCTAAATATTAATTTTTTCTCACTAAAGCAGGCAGAAATGTAAACTTAATGAAATATGAAATTCAGAATGCTAAGCAACCAATTTTTTTAAATGGTCTTGGATTGAAAAGGAATCTGTAAGGCTGTATGACAATCACTGCAGTCTTCCACTTTTATTGAAAATATTTCCTTCGTGTTCACTGTTCTTATCTTAAAGTCCTCATGTGGTTAAAGGTCTAAAAAATTCTGTTATCTGCACCTTACTGCACAAACTTCTGGTATATAATTTCTATATGACTCTCAAAACTATATATGGTAGATGGCTATTAATCAGTATACCCATTGTTTAAGCCATAAGTGCACTAAGTTAAGACAAAGTAGGGATGCAAAAAGATAAAGTACTAAGACTTAGCTATCAATTTAGCAACTAAAAAGATCTATTTCTACATTCCAATCAGATCTTTAATATAATTATTTTCCCTTCTGCATTGCATTTGCACAGTGTCTTATCAGAGGGAATAAAAATTATACAAACATTTTTTGGTAACAATGTGTACTACACTGCACTTACTTGGAAGAAATGTATCTGCTATAAATTACCCAGAATATATAGTTAAGAGTTAAGAAACAACATAACAAGTCCCAGAGATTTACATAGTTTATATACTTAAACTCATCCATTTTTACTTCTAAGAGTACATATCTCAGATCTATAAAGTAAGTTTTAATTTTTTTTTTTTTTTTTTAGAGAAAGAGAGAGAGGGAGGGAGAGAGAGGGGGCGGGGAGGAGCAGAGGGAGAGAGAGAAGCAGGCTCCATACCCAGCATGGAGCCTGACGTGGGGCTTGATCTCATAACCCTGAGATCATGACCTGAGCCGAACAGTCAGACCCTTAACAAGCCACTTAGGTGCCCCACAGGTTTTAATTTTTGATACTTGCTATAAACATAACCCTGGTAAGCTAAATAATGAATATTTGCCTTCCTAATTATAACAGGTCAGAAAGAGCAAACTGTAAGAAGAAATGGTTTTCTGATAGCAAGGTACATACAACAATAAGGAATGACAGTCAACAATAAAGCAAGGACAGAATGTTCTTTCAGTTTTAGACAGCTGAAGAACTCACATGGGGGATAAAACTTCACTGGTGGGAAAGAATGAATTGTGACCATGGAAAAACAAAGCCACAGAGGTTCGTTTACCACAAGGTAATCTTGTCCTATTACAGTTCGTCATTTCCTTTTCTTTTCTTTTTTTAAGATTTTATTTTTAAGTAATCTCTACATCCAACATGGGGCTTTATCTCACAACCCCGAGATCAAGAGTCACACACTCTACTGACTGAGCCAGCCAGGAGCCTCCCTACAGTTTGTCATTTCTTGAGCAAGAGCTATGTGATGGGGATTTTTATATTATCTAAATAAAAGTAAGGGAGTACCTAATGACTTTGAGATTTATTGTGGTTAGATGAATAAAGAAGGGATAAAAGGTTAAGGGTGACTTAGTATTTTTTTTTTAGCACAGTCAAGATTTAATGTGGACACAACTACAGAAATTATGACAGACACTGAATTCAAAGCATGATTATTTCATCACATCTATCTATGGTATTTCTCAAATTCTGTGATATTTAATCCACCCTAAACCTAAACATGAATATACTACTTGTAGGTTTCAACCTTTATTACTTAATATAATGGGCAGGCAGAGTTGCTCTAAGTGGTTATTTAAATAAAAGTAAACAAAGTCCCCCACAAATAAAAAACAGGTGCTGTCAAGAGAGTAGAATTTCATGATCATGTACAGACTGGACTGCTGCTAGACAGAGCTGACAATTTGTTAAGTCTAGACCCATCATCCGCAAGCTTTCTCACACCACTATTTACACTTTACATCCAGACCATCTCCTGCTCCTCCAAGCAGATGGAAATAACTAGTAATCATAGCTGTTCTTTATTAATGAAATTACAGTCTAAATGCCTATCTGAAGAACTAAGTATTTTTGTATGTTGAACAATAAAGAAAAACAGCAAATAAAATTACTTCAATAGGTAAAGATTTATCAACTTACTTTGCATCCTAGCCCTTACTCTTGTGGTTTGTTCAAGGCATTCCTGAGGTTTTTTTTGATATCCCGAGCCTGAAGCAAATACATATATCAAAATATCATTTAACATACTCTGAAAATGTATACCATACAAATTTACAAGGTAAATTTATCAGAAAGGCAAGACAAATTTGGGGAGGAAAACAACAAAAGCAACAGGTTCAGAAGTAAAAGATAATGTTAAAGGATCATTCCATGAAGGATGAACCACTACTTACAGCAAAATAGGCAAATAAATATATAATCATCTAATAGACAAAACTATGTACAAGTCCTTTGTTCTGGTCTGAGAATGACTGAACTCACTAATACTTGAACTTGATTTCAATATTAAGAAGAAAAAGTTAACCATTTATTCTTTTTTTTTTTTTAAAGATTTTATTTATTCACTTGAAACACAGAGATAACAGAGAGAGAGACAGAAGAGAGAGAGCATGAGCAGGGAGAGAGGCAGAGGGAGAAGCAGGCTCCCTGCTGAGCCAGGAGCCCGAGGCAGGCCTTGATCCCAGGACCCCGGGATCACGACCTGAGCCAAAGGCAGACATCCAACCATCTGAGCCACCCAGGCGCCCAACCATTTATTCTTGTAAGTAAGTTACTTTAGGTAAAATAGTCCTAAACACATTTCCACATCACAGAGTAATTACACATTTGGTACCAATGTGTGGTGAGATTAAAAGGCAAAGAGGGTAAATACCTTGAAACCCTATTCAAATCCAAATTTGACAAAGTCAGAATTACTTGACTGATAAAAGAACAGACAACCAACCACTTACTTAGCACAGAAGGTTGCTTATCAAGAGTTATGAAGTCTCGACCTAAAACACAAAACAAAGATAAGGTCATACAATACTTGGAAATAAGAACAGTGAAGATATTGCATAGATATTCTACTTGTATAATATGGATACTACAAACCAAAAAAATCCCCACAAAAATCAAACCCTTCTTTCATCAGTCCCAAACATGCAACATATCCATTTTTTTCCCTTTTCTAAACTTCCAAAGTATTCAAGAATTGGATAATAATAAGTCAACTTTAGGATCAATACCATCAAAATAATGGCTGCATGTACTGAATGCTTACCAGGTATGAAGTATAATTTTACTTAATTCTCAAACTTTATGTGGTTGATATACCATTATCCCTATTTACAAATCAGGACACTGAAACTGAAACTGATCATTTTCCCAAGATTACATATCTAGAGGTAGTAGGGCTGAGATATAAACCCAGGCAGTCCATGTATGTTAATATATAGTATGTTAGCAATGAGGGCATTACAAAGTAGTTATGAAGAGAAAGATGCTATTTTTTGTTTTGGGATGGTATCTAACAACTGTAAAATGATATAATGGGACAATTAGAAATGATATTTCTTTTTTTTTTTTTAA